GAAGTCTGCTGTGAGTCTGATTGGAGATCCTCTGAGAGTAATCTGACATTTCTCTCTTGCACATTTTAGGATCTTTTCTTTATGCTTCACTGGGTAAGTTTATTTACCACGTGTCGTGGTGAGGATCTCTTTTGGTCATGTTTATTGGGGGTTCTATGAGCTTCCTGTCCTAGGATGTCTCTGTCCTTCTCCAAACCTGGAAAGTTCTCTGCTAGTATCTCACTAAAAAGGCCTTTTAATCCTTTCTCTCTCTCCATGCCTTCAGGAACTCCTAGAACTCGAATGTTGGTTTTTTTAATAGTATCCTGTAGATTCCCAACATTATTTTTTAGATTTCTAATTTCCTCTTTTTTTTTGGTTTGACTGTATGTTTTCCTGTGCTCTGCCTTCTAAGTCCGATATTCTCTCTTCTCCTTCACCCATTCTGTTTTTAAGGCTTTCTAATGTGTTTGTCATTTGATCTATTGAGCTCTTCATTTCATTTTGATTTCTCTTCACTATCACACTTTCCTGTTCTACTAGTTTCTGCGTTTCATTTTGATTCTTCCTTAAAATTTCATTTTCACGAGAGAGATTTTCAATCCTGTCCAATAAGGATTTCTGTAGTTCAAGGATTTGCTTTTGAAAACTTCTAAATGATCTTATCATAAATTTTTTGAAATCCGTATCTTGAATTTCTTCTATCTCATCATCTTCATAATCTTGGCTTGGGGTGTTTTGTTTATTTGGAGGCATCATAGTGTCATCGTTGATCTTGTTCCCAAGATTTCTGTGTTTGTTGCTTGGCATAGTGAATTCTTCTTTCGTCATGTGCGGTTTTTTTTAAATTTTTTTTTTATTTTATACTATGTCTGTGTTAAGTGGACTGCCTGCTGTTGGAAGAGCCTTGGAGGCTTGAGATGGGTGTGGCCTGAGAACTCTGCTTGGTTCTTCTGGGTTACTGGTGTGCAAAGGTGACACCCTCAGGTTATGCGTGGTAAATCTCTCTCTCTTTATTTATTTATTTATTTATTTTATTTATTCAGGGGGTAAGTAATACCGCACGGCACGGCTGTGCAGAATTGATGGTATTTAGCTTCCAGTCTCTGGCTTCTACCCAAAGAGTATGTGTAGGCTCTGTTTCTCCTCTGGACTCCCACTGGGTTGCCTAGGCTACTGAATTGTAGTGACTCAGTTCCTTAGCTCTCCCCTGTTGTTATGTAAATCCAGAGAGGGGGCCTGCTCTTTGTCTCTTACAAACTCTTCAAGCCTTGCAGCCTTGCAACCTTTGCAAGGTTGCCAGTGAGAGAAACCCCCAAATTTTTTTTTTCCTTCTTTCCGGTAATGAGTCTGCTGCACTTTCCGGCTCCCCTCTAGATTCTGACCCCCGTTTCCCCGCCAATGTCTCGGGTTATTGAGCTCACCTCCCCTTCCAGCGCCGATGTGTGGACTCGGAGCCCTGGACGTCCCAACTCTCCCCGCTGGTGTCTGTGTGACACGCACTCCCCTTCCTGCACTGGCGCGCAGACCCTGCGGTTCCCGCGGCTCCCGCGGCTTGGCTTCCACGCAGTGGGCGACCTTGTTCTCCCAGTAGGTCCTCCGATTCACAGCCACTCGATCCAGAAGAGTTTCCTCTGCAATATTTTCCTGGTTCTTTTTCTGAGGCTACCGTAACTCCCCTTTTATTAAACTAAATTTTCCCGGACTATCGGTGCACGCCCTCACTATTCTGCCATCTTGCAAATTTATTCTATGATATTTAGCTTTTTTGTAACTAATGTGAGTAGGATTGGTCTTAGAAGTTCTGTTTCAGCAATGGCATTGTCTGCGTTTACAAAGGATATTGTTTATTCTAATGATTTACTTATTTATTTGAAAGGCAGTTACTGAGAGAGAGAGAAAGAGAGAGATTCCATCCAATGGTTCACTCCCTAAATGGTCACAATGGCCGGAGGTGTACCGATCTGAAGACAAGAGCCAGGAGCTTCTTTCTGTTCTTGACATGTGGGTGCCTGGGCCCAAGGACTTGGGCCACCTTCCACTGCTATCCCAGGCACATTGGCAGGGAGCTGCACTGGAATGGAGCCCTAGGGATCAAGCCAGAGCCCATATGGGATGCTGGCGTTGCAGGTGTCAGCTTTGACCACTAGACCAGAATGCTAGCCCCTGCCATATTTTCTTTAAACATTGATCCATCAAAGGATGCCTAGGTTGTTTCCATTTCTTGGCTGTTGTGATACTGCTGCTACATCAGAGTGCAGATACCTCCTCGGCATAATGTTCTAATTTGTTTGGATGTTGTCTCAGGCCATTTTGTATTGCTGTAACAAAATCCCCCCAGACTGCACTGTCTAAAGAAAAGGGAGTTATTTTGGCTCAAGTGGTGGAAGGTGGAAAGTCTGAGATCCCTTGTCCCCTCTGGTGAGGACCACATGCTGCATCAGTTCATGGTGGAGAAGCAGAAAGAAGAAACAGCTGCATGAAGAAGAGGAGTACACGTGTAAGGGAGGCGGGAACAACAGGACCAGCCCTGTCTTTTGGAAAGGAATCCTGCCAGGGTGAGAACTGGCTCCCAGGAGAGCACTGATCTACTCATGAGGCCTCAGTAGTAGGGTTCCTGGATCGTACAGTAGATCTACTTTTAATTTTTTGAGGACCGTCCATACTGCTTTCCATAATCATTATATGAATTTGCATTCCCACCAACAGGGAAGGAGTGTTCCCTTCTCTCTACATCCTCACCAGTACTTGTTTCCTTTTTGTCTTGGTTTGCAAACTGGCCATTCTGATGTGAGTGAGGCAATATTTCATTGTGTGTGTGTGTGTGTGTGTTAAAGATTTATTTATTTGAGTGAGTTACACAGATAGAGAAGGAGAGGGAGAGAGAGAGAGAAAGAGAGAGAGAGAGAGAGAGAGAGAGAGAGCGCGGTCTTCCATCTGCTTGTTCACTTCCCATATGGCTGCAATGGCCTAAGCTGGGCCAATTTGGAGCTGGAAGTAGAGCAGCTGGGACTCAAACTGGCGCCCATATGGGATACTGGAGTGGTGTTTACCTGCTATGCCACAATGTGGGGCCCAACTCTCATGATTGTTGTGTGTTGTTGATTTCTATCCTGCAACCTTATTGAATGTTTATTAGTTTCAACAGTTTTTTATTCGAATCTTTAGGGTATTCCATATATAAGATCATGTCAGCTGCAACTAAATTCTTCCTATCTAATGTGGATATCTGTTTTTCTTTCTCATGCCTCATTGCTCTTACTGGGACATTTAGTGCTAGATTGAATACAAGTGTTAGAAGGGTTCCTCCTTGTCTTGTCCTGATCTTAGGGTAAAAGCTTTCAGCTTTTCATTGAATGTGATGGTAGGTGTGGGATTGTCATATAACCTGCATTGTTTTGGGGGACTTTCCTTGTCTAGATAGTTTGTTGAGATTTTCTCATGAAAGCGTACTGGCTTTTGTAAAATACTTTCTATGGGTCCATTGAGGAGATCATATGGGTTTTGACCTTCAGTCTGGTAGTGTGGTATACCACATTTATTTTCCACATGTCCATTTTCATTCTGTTAATGTGGTGGATGAATTGTATTTATTGATTTTCATATGTTGAGTCATATGGTATGCTGTTGAATTTTGCTGGATAGTATTTTGTTAAGGATTTTTAAAATCTATGCTCAGTATGAATACTGACCTGTAATCTTTTCTTTAGCATCCTTGTCTAGTTTTAGAATCACAGTAATGTTAACCATGTCAACTGAGTTTTGGAGTGCTGATCCTTCCTCAAATTGTTGGAAGAATTTGGGAAAACTCTGTATCAGTTTTCAAATGGTTGATAGAATTCCGCAGTGAAATCATCACATCTTGCACTTTTCTTTGACAGTAGAATTTATTAGTGATTCGGTCCCCTTACTCGTGGTTCTGTGGTGTGTGCATTCTTATTCTTCTGAAGACATTTTAAAATCACCATTTATTGGACGGCACTGCGGCTCACTTGGGCAATCCTCTGCCTGTGCGCCGGCACCCAGGGTTCTAGTCCCGGTTGGGGCGCCGGATTCTGTCCCAGTTGCTCCTCTTCCAGTCTAGATCTCTGCTGTGGCCCGGGAGTGCAGTGGAGGATGGTCCAAGTACTTGGGCCCTGCACCCGCATGGGAGACCAGGAGGGAGCACCTGGCTCTTGGCTTGGGATCGGCGCAGTGCGCCGGCTGTAGTGGCCATTTGGGGGGGGGTAAACCAATGGAAGGAAGACCTTTCTCTCTGTCTCTGTCTCTCTCTCTCTCTCTCTCTCTCACTGTCTAACTCTGCCTGCCAGGAAAAATAAAAAATCACCATTTATTTTGTCTTTGACTCATTGAAAAATCATTTCCCTGTTGAGCATTTTCCAATATTCCTTCTATTATTGATTGTGCCTAGAGCTTGGGTACCCAGGGTTGGGCCCTGGAGCATTGGTGCATAGTGACTGACTCAGCACCAAAATCTTCCGTGCTGGCCCTAGGTCCTGGGTCTGTAAGACCAGACATGGACATAGGTTACTGGCAACTGTGGTCACAGGTGCTGGGAAGGCATGGAGCTTGAGCTTGTGATAACCAGTGTAAGGTCTGCGGTCACAGGTGTGGCCAGCTGCCTGGGCCATGAGGGGTGATCTGTAGTCTGGGGAAATGGGGAGAGGCCCGGATCCTGGATCCACAGGGGTCATTTTGGAGGCTGGGCCCATGAGGATGGGTTTAAGCCTTGGGGCTTTGAGGAACTGTTTAGAAGCTGAATACATGTGGGGTGGAGTGTCCTGGAGCCTAGGTGCAACAGGTTGGAGGAAGGCCTTGGACTGGATTCTACTAGGAGGTTTTCTACCAGGGGTCTCCTTCAGCAGGTACAGACCCTTGGTCTTCTTGAGCAAGGGGCCCTTGGTCAGCCTGGAGGTTGGGGTTACAGGGCAGGCTGGGAGGCTGCTCCTGTGGGTGCTGGACTGATGTCTGTTCTGTGGGTACTGGGATGATGTCTGGTCTGTGGGGCTGGCCTGTGATGTCTGGTGTGTGGGTGCTGGGTGGATGTCTGGTGTGTAGTGCTGGGCTGATGTATGGTCTATAGTTGCTGGGCCGATATATGGTCTGTGGTTGCTGGGCCGATATATGGTCTGTGGGTGCTGGGCTGATGTCTGGTCTGTAGGTGCTGGGCTGATGTCTGCTGTGTTGGGGCTGGGCTGATTCTGGTGTGTGGGTGCTGGGCTGATGTCTGGTGTGTGGGTACTGGGCTCATGTCTGGTGTGTGGGTACTGGGCTCATGTCTGGTGTGTGGGTACTGGGCTCATGTCTGATCTGAGGGCTGGCCTGATTTCTGGTCTCTGGGGGCTGGCCTGATGCTGAGGTATGTTTGAAGCCTGGACTTTGAGATCTGGTCTGGTGCTGTTTTTCCTCTCTTCATCTGCTCCTATTTTGTTGCACTAAATAGGTATTGTATGATTTTAATGTTCACGTTGCTTCTTTTACTCTAAGTAGAGTTTGCTAATGATTGTCTTGCATATTAGGATTAACAAGTTTCTGACAATCTAGCTTGGATTGATACCAACCTAATGTGTAATATATATATAATATAAAATAACATATAAAAACTTGGTTCCTGTACTATTGTTCCTCCTGCTTGGTGCTGTTATTTTGATTGACATTGCATCTTTATAAATTATAAGCCCGTTTAGCACATCTTTATGATTGTCGTTTGTTCTTTATAATTGATATGGTAGTCTGGTTTTCCCAGGAAGCAGAGGCAGTGGGACGCGGGGACCTCTGAGAGATGTGCTGGGGAACTAGAGGAGACTCTGACTAGGAGGCACTGACTGTAGACTCAAGTCTGAAGGACTCCAGGGAGAATCCCCCCTTCCGCCCGACACTGCAGTCCGCAGCCTCCTAAGGGCTGACCTGTGTAGGGCTCCCGTGCATTCCGAGGGGCCGTCCCCGATTAAGACAGGAGAGGGACACACAGAAGGACTGGGGGCACTGGCTCAGTGAGTGAATGAGTGAAGAAAGCCCTGCTTCTTTCCTGGAGGGTGGAGGTCTGGGGTCCCTGTACAGGCCCTGCCCAGAGGCACAGAGCACGTCCGCCTGTCCTGCTGAGCCCCCTGACCTGGGACAGACTGTGGCTCTCGACCTGCTTCACTGCTCCTCAGTGATGCTGACGGCCTGGTGGCCAGGCTGCAGGAGAAGCCACATGCGAGGTGCTTCCCAGACCCTGTGCCCTGCCAGCAGGCAGCCCCTAAGGGGCCCCACTTCAGGGAGAGGATCCCATCAGCCCCATCTCAGGGAGGTCTTCTGACAACCCACCAGGCAGGTCTGCATCTTTCTTGTTCCCGGGATGGGAACTGAGGCCCAGAGCTTATCTGTGGTCGTAGCTACAAAGAGGAAGTACAGAGCTTTTCTCCCACATCTGAAGGCTGCTCTTGGGTATTTACAGAGAGCAGTGGAAACAGCTCCCATGAGATGACCACCCCTGCCATCCCATCCCCAAGTGCCCAGGAGGAGGCAGTGGGAGACCACAGGGAGGATAGAAGGCCCTGCAGGGACTCAGACACCCCCAGCTGTTGTCACTGACCTGCAGTTGCCTTCACCACCAGCCACTGTCACTCTGTCCCCTCACCGTGCAGGCCAACTCACTCCACCTGCTGTTTTCCTCGGGTGACCCAATGTGCACCCCAGTTGGGGGTTCACTAGCCTGAGCTGCCATTGCTCCAACCTGACCCCTTAGTTCTGGGACAGGAAATGACCCCTGTTTCTTTCTGTGTGTCTGCAGACATGAACCATCCTGAGTGCTCCACACCATGGGCCAGATGTCAGGGTGTTCTTTTAGGTGGGCTCCCTGCCCCCTACAATGGCCAAATGGAGCTGCCCTGTGCCCCCAAGACAGGTGCACCCTCCCAGACCTCTGGCACAGGTGGCAGAGCCTGGGGATCTGGGGGGGAGTAGGTGGGAAGAGATCCCTGGTTTTTCCCAGAGATAGTCCTGTGTGGGTGGGGACGCCATGGTTGGCCCAGGAACTCCCACAAAGCACGCACCTGCCCAATTCCCACTGCCTCCACTGTTTCCTCCATAGCCCACCACGAAGGCTTGTGAAAAGTTCAGATTCCATGAAGGACATCTCCACAGCTTTCACCATCTTCAGAAAGACAAACCCCCCTGACTGCTGACCTCCCTGAGCCTTCAGGCTCTGAGCTGTTTCTCTGTACATAATTTGCTAAGTGCAGCAGGGGCAGGGGAACCACCGCTGAGTTCCATGACACATGGTGGGCAGGGGCTCCTCTCAGAGCTGTTTGCAATCTGTAAAGTGTAGGTGTCCACGGCCACTCTCTCTCAGGCAAGGGGGGCCCAATGCTCGGCCAGGTGTCAAGTACAGAGCAGCAGTCCATGCAGGGAGTCGTCCCCCCAATCAGGGACACTACACAGACTCCCATTTGCAGCCTCAGTGCGTCTCAGCTTGAACCCTGGGCAGTCTTGTCAGTGGGGGTGGTTCCTGGCCTGGCCTGGTGTCTCTCCTGTGTTGTGGACACCACTGCTTGCACCATCCAGGCCAAACACACCTGGGCTCCTCCTGTCACAGCCCCATCCGTGGGCACTGGGATATGGGCTGTCACAGCTCAGATCACAGTGACAGATGGTGACACGGTTCCCCAGACAACAAAGTTTAACCCGCTGGGAGAAAGGCCGCCCTGTCCATGCAGAACCTGTGTGAGTCTTCATTCAGGATCCAGAGGCTGAGGAGCTGGGAGCTCGTGGAGTGCTCAGGGAACCACATGCATCTCATTTCACCAGGCTCCGTGGCACCCTGTGGGGAGGGCTGTGAGCCCATGTCACAGATGAGAACACTGAGTCTCCAGTGAGGACACCAGCCACTCTGCCTACCCTCAGAACCCATGTCCCTAACCATGAGGGAGCACTGACCAGCCCAGGGCCGCGCACATGGTTCCCCTGGATTCCTCACTCTTCTGGGCAGTCAGTGAACCCTGGACTCACAGGGGCTTCCTCCTCCCTGCCCCAGGACAGCGGCGGGTTCCCCCCAGGACCCCGTGTGCTCGGCGTGGGGCTCCCTTGTGCAGCAGGGAGAAGGTGGCTGCACAGCACGGGTGGGGACTCAATGCACTGGCATCCACACAGGAACATGAAGAGAGCTATATTGAACTACATACAGAGGGGGACTTAAATAAACTGTCTGAGAGAGCAGGAGAGGGAGCTATAAATAAACTGATGGTGAGGGGAACAATGGCTCTGCTGGAGGTGGCCCTGGGAGGACCCAGGAGCTGAGCTGTGCAGAGCCGGGTTTGCTGCCACCACAGATGTTTCACTCGTGGCTGGGGCCAGAGCGGGGCCCCGATGAGTGGATGGGGAAACAGCTTAGAAGGGTGCGCACCCAGCTGGGTGAACGACGGTGGGGACGGTCCTGATTGGAGATTGTGCGCTGCCCACGCCGGCGGCCCCAGGGCCAGCGCCGCTTCGTGAACCAGGGCTGGGGATGCTCTGGCTCTGGTTTGGCTTCTGGAGATGCAGGGGGCTCCAGGGCCTCCAGAGCTGGCACAGTTGCCAGGGACAGACAGGCTTCAGGTGGCTCTGGCTGGGGAGCAGATGCCGGGGTTGCCACCAAATCTGGCCCCAGAAGTGCAGCAGCCGCTGGGAGAGGCGCCTCCAGGTCTCCCCCTGGTGCTGGAGCTGCAGGAGGAGAACATGTCATGAACACCACTGCCCGTTCCTGCTGTCCTTGCCAAGAGGAGAAGAGCCCCAACCCTGTGCCCACAGCAGAGCCCTGGGTGGAATGTGCTGCAGCCCTGGGACTCTGAGCCTGGTCTTCACTCCAGCCAACACCAGCCTTGGAGCCTCCTCCCAGAGTGGGGCAGCCCTGAGACCCTCTCAGGCTCCCACGCACACACCCCAGTCGTCCTCACCCTCGGGCTCCGCTTCAGCCTCAGCCTCCTGGGGCTCTGGATCCTCCAGCTGCATCAGGAGCAGCTGGGCTCGGCGTGCCAGGTCTGAGCTGGGCATCTGGAGCTGGACGTAGGCCAGCAGCTGATTCAGGCTGGCCAGGTCAAGAGGCTGACAGAAGTGCTCCGGGTAGTGGTCCCGCCAGGTACCGAGGAAGGAGCAGAGGGCACTAGGGGTAGCAGGAGGTCAGCAGAGTCAGACACCTTCTGCTGACACTCTCCCTCACCCCTGTGACTATGGGTTCTGGGCTGAGGATACACGGCCTTGTTTGCAGGTGGATATTGAGTGGCGCATGTGTGAGCCGGCTGCTGCCTGCCTCCAGGCAGGCCCCTGAAATAGGAAGGGGTGGGCCAGCCTGTTTGAGTTGTGTTGTGGATGAATTCTCACCGTTCCCCAGATGCACAGGAACCCAGACAATTCTGTTCCCTGCTGAAGGCAACGTCACTGACCTCATCAGCCCTATAGCATTAATCACAGAAATGTAGGAGATGGGATCACGGTCAGCCCCCTAGTTGCACCCCCGTGTCCCTGCTGTGGAGAATGGAACCTCCCTCCTGACCCAAGGCCCACTCACTCCTTAGTGCAGTCGTCCTCTTCGCAGTGAGGCTGAAAGGATGCATACCTAGAGGAGGACAGGAGGTGTCACCTGTGGTGTCCTGGGTGCCACCTGCCAGGAGGTCTGGGGGAGGGGCTGAGCCCCTGACTACAAGGGAAGAAAAGCAGGGTAGAGACAGTGGTCTGTGCTGTGCACTGAATTTTATTAAGCTCCTGGACATGTGGCCGCACACAGTGGGCACTTCATAGTGTTTGCAGTGTGAGCTTGTGAAGTCAGCCTGTTTGTCCCCAGGGGTCTAAGTGGGCCTGGGCCCCTTTATCACCCTCTGGTGTCTCAGTTTGGGTCACTACCAGGACAGAGAACCACACATAGAATCTGGAAGCTTCTTTGTGAATAGGAAGACTGCTTTTCCTGAGGCCATGGGTGGTGAGGCCTGAGGGCGCAGAGCCTCATTGGAGGGTGAACATAATGCTAAATGAGACCCCTGTCCTTGGCAGCCCACTCCTCAGGGAAGCACTTTCTGGAGCTCATCCCATTGGTCCCGAAATCACCAAGGGGCTTTTCCTCTGAGCACCAAAACTCTGTGTGAATGATTTGAGACCACGCAGGGTCTGGGACATCACCAAGACCCAGTCGAGAGGTACTGAGTCATCCCATTCTTGCAGGTTCCGGCCCTCACCTTTGGAACAGCAGGTGCAGCACCTGTTGGGTGGTGGCGAACCTTTGATAGATGTTCAGGAATGTGGGGATGAAGAAGGGGTCCCCTCTCTGCTGGGCAGGCACCAGCTGATTCACCAGCTTCTCCACCATGCCTGTGTCCAGGGTCCCGACCCTGCTGGCAGCCGACAAGGAGGGCACCGTTCCAACGTCTTGTTCCTGGTGGGGACCTGCACTTGGACCCTCAGGGGCCTCCAGCGCCTCTGCAGCTGAAAGATGGACTGCGCGGGGCAGCGATGGTTCAGCCGACTCTGGTTGGGGTGCCGCTGCTGTAGTTGGCACTAGATCTAAGCACAGAAAGGCAGGAGCAAATGCAGAGGGAGAAAATATCAACACCACAGGCTTTCCTGCTCCTTGTGGTCAACCAGGAGTTTTCCTGCCTTCCAGGGAAGCCCTAGCCCTGCCCACAACAGGACCCTGCCCAGATGTGGTGAGCCCTGAGGGCTCTGAGCCTGGTCTTTGCTCCCAGACAACTCCAGGCTTGGAGCCTCGTCCCAGTGTGGCTCTGCCCCAGTGCCCTCCAATCTCCCACGTACTCAAGCCTCCTCACCTTTGGGCTCAGCCTCAGCCTCCTTGGGCTCGGGGTCCTCCAGCTGGGTCAGGTTCCGTTGGGCTCGGAGTGCCAGGTCCGAGAAGGGCATATGGAGCTGGACGTAGGCCAGCAGCTGATGCAGACAGGTCAGGTCCTGAGGCTGACAGAAGTGCTCGGGATAACGGTCCAGCCAGGTTCCCAGGAGGGAGCACAGGGCACTGGGGACAGGCAGGCGGGCAGCAGAGTCAGAAGTCTCCTGTCCACACCCACCCTCGCCCCTGTGACTCTGAGATCTGGGCAGAGGATGCTCAGCCCTTGTGCAGGTGGACAGAGAGGGGTCATGTGTATGCCGATGCTCCCACCTCCTCTCGGGTTCTTGAGATGGGAAGGATTGGGCCAGCCCTTCTGAGAAGGGTTGTGGTAGGGACAGATTCCCACTGCTCTCAGGATGCCCAGGAGCCTCGTGTGTCTCTCAGGTTCTTCAGGTAACACGCCTGACCTCAGACTTCAAGTGGAAAACACAGGAAGGGTGCAATCCTGGTCAAGGTCAGCCCCCCAGTTGCACCCCATGTCCCTGCTGTGGATAGTAGAAACCTCCCTCCTGACCCAAGGCCCACTCACTGCTTAGTGCGGTCGTCCTCTTCACAGTGAGGCTGAAAGGATGCATACCTAGAGGAGGACAGGAGGTGTCACCTGTGGTGTCCTGGGTGCCACCTGCCAGGAGGTCTGGGGGAGGGGCTGACTCCCTGACTACAGGGGAAGCAAAGCAGGGCAGATAGAGTGGTCTGTGCTGTGGGCTGTCGTTTGCTAGGTTCCTGGGTATGTGCCTGCACACAGTGGGCACCTTCTTATGTTTGCTCTGTGGGTGAATTGAGCTCCTTCTAAGGTGTTGAGAGGTCTGAATCCCCTCCAGCAGCCCCTAGGGGTCCTGTTCAGGCCATTATCAGGACAGGTACCCCCAGAGGGAATCTGGAAGGTTCTTTGTGAACAGAAAGCAGCTTTGCCTATGGCCATGAGAGATGAAGTCTTAGGTCCCGGGCTGTTTCATGAGCATGGGAGGAAATCTCTAAATCAGACCTCCTGGGCAGCCTATCCCTCAGGACCAGGCTTAGAAAGAACTTTATCACCCTGGGAGACACTCCCCCGATCACCAAGATGCTGCAAGAACACACTGAGGCCCTGAAGGGGAGTAGGGTGTCACCAAGTTCCAGCCAAGGGTGGCGCGTCCCCCCTACGCCTGCAGGTGCAGGCCCTCACCTTTGGAACAGCAGATGCAGCACCTGCTGGGTGATGGTGAACTTGTGATAGATGAGCAGGAATGCAGGGACGATGAAGCGGTCCCCTCTCTGCTGGGCAGGCACCAGCTGACTCACCAGCTTCTCCACCTTGCCTGCCTCCTGGGTCCCCACGCTGCTGGCAGGTGACAGGGATGGCACAGGTTCCACTGTTGCTGGATCCTCAGGTTCCAGGTTTGGTCCTGGCCCCATCTTAGCTGCTGCCATCTCAGCTGGGGCCGGCTCCACCGGAGCTGAATCACCTGCTCTTGGCGAGGGCTCCCCCTCCAGCCTGCCTGCCACCATGGTCCCCACTCCGCTGGTGTCCTCCAGGGGTGTGGCAATGTCACTGTCATTCTGGGGTGAGACAAGGAGGGTGGTTGTAATCCTGGCCCTGATGTTCTGCCCCCACTCTCCTGCAGTTGTCATGGGACCATCAGGTCCCTATCCCACCCCCAGTCCCTTCCCATGGGTCACGGAGCTCCCCAAACTACCCCCTCCACACCACCCAAGGTGGATGCAGGGCCACCCAGGAGGATCAGAGGGGAGGTCTGCCCAGGGGTCCTGGCCTGGCTGTCTGAGATCACCTTGGTTTCCCTCTGAGAGAATTGCCAGAGCTGCTGTGGGCGAGGGCTGACCCAATGTCTGTAGCTCTGGAGAATATCCGCAGCCTGGGGCTGGTCCCAGCCTGGGCCATGGGATGTTGGGAGACAACACGAGAACATATCTGCTCGATGGCCTCTGACCAACTGAACTGGCTGGGTCACCAGCACCACATTGTGTGCACCTGGTACCCGGGTTCCAGGTTCTGTTGTGGCCATCGTCAAGGAAGTGAGGTCACTTCCTGAGGTCCTCTCAGCAGACCTCCCCTAGGGTTCTACTGCTGCTGACAGCCCCCCAGAACAGATGCCGTGTGCACACCTGCACCCAGTTACACCAGCACCCCCCCCCAGCTCCCTGAGGGAGGCCTGGGCCAGCCGCACTCTCCACTGGGAGGTCATAGACCAGGGTCAGCCCCAGCATCTCCTTCCTCCAGGCCTGTGTCCCTGGGCAAGTCTTGTGCCTCTCAGGGCCTCCCCTGTCCCCTCTCTGCAGCCCTGGGATTATTCTGGCATCTGCTTCCAAGGGATGCCCTCAGGGTGTGGAACACTAAGCACTTGTGTGAGCTGTGAAACCTGAGGCCTGGTATCACCTGTGTCTAATGCATGACCTAGAGATGGGAGGACCCCAAGAAAGGCTGGGACAAACAGTGGACCATGCTGTCACCACCTTAGGGTGATTTATTGTAATATAGCATCATCTGCTCTCATAAACAAATGAGGATGTGACTCATAGCCATAGAACATGTCTGAAATTGTTCTGATCTTGGCGTGCTTCAAAGCCAGTGTTCCAGTATTTTGAACCCCACCCAGTGAGGAATGTTGTAAAATACTGCACAAAGTCTTGCTTTCATTGTCTTTTCTGGTGAGTTGTCATGGTCATTTGGTTGTGTTATGCCCAGATTGTTAGATCCCCGCAGAGACCCCCAGAGAGTCGATCACACCGAACTGCAAAAGCAAGGTTTATTTGGGAGTACAAGCCGCGACAGGTACCCCATCCAACCAACCGGCACAGCAGAGGAAGGAGTGAGGCCCCTGTCTTTGTTTGGGAGAGCTTTTAAAGGAAAAAGGTCTACATCAGCAGGAAAAGAGTTACATACAGTATGGAAGCTTTGGGTACAGGGAGTTACAGCAGGGGCTTACAACAAGGAATCTTTGGGCGCAGGGAGTTACTTTGTTTATCAGTCTCTACTGTGCTGTTCTTGCTCTACTGAGCTAGACATCCCTGGTAATCTTCGGTATATCTGGAATGCCTGAATGCCTGCTTTTACAAGGACCCAGGTCTGCTGTGGGAAACAGAGGCTGCCTTTTTTTTATTGTTTTAAAATGGAGGCACTTTGGCTTTTCAGTTGAAAAATGTATTTTAAAAAACTACAGAAATTTTTTTACTTGAATTATTCCTTTCAAAGTAGATTCTGAAGGCCAGATACTTTTTTGATAAGATTTATTTATTTACTTGAAAGGCAGAGTTACGTAAGCTATTCTGGGAATGACTCTTAGGCACACAATGTCATTATCATATTGCTATTTTACTGTGTGCCTTTAACAGTTGATGCATCGTAAGTGCACATCCTTACCGGATGCAATGTGGTGTTAGATGTGTATAGTGTGTCATGAATATATGCTAAGTCGGGATACTTAGCATGTCCAGCACTTCACATATAGGTTATTTTATTGAATGGAGGACATTCAAATTCTCTTTACCATGGAGCTGGCACTTCTGTGTAGGGGGTTAAGCTGCTGCCTGCAACACTAGCATCCCATATGGGCACCAGTTCCAGTCCCAGCTGCTCTGCTTATGGTCAAGCTTCCTTCTAATGTGCCTGAGAAAGCAGCAGAAGATGGATCAAGTGATTGAGCCCCTGCTACCCAATTGGGAGACTTCCATGGAATTCCAGGCTCCTGACATCAATCTGACCAAGCCCGACCGTTGCCATTTGGGGAGTGAAGTAGCAGATGGAAGATCTCTCTATCTCTGTGTCGCCCTCTCTCTAATTCCACCTTTCAAATAAATAAATGACATCTGAAAAATAATTCTCTTTACCTACCATGTCGAAATGTGCAGTGAGGCTTTTAAATCCCTGGTGGGTCCCAGGCGATGGTCACATTCGTGAGCCACGATTCTGGATGCAGATTCTCCCTCTTGCTGGTGTCCATCTAGAACTTTGTAGATGGTGGGTGCCCTTTGGCAGGAGTCTGTTGTTGAGAAAAGAATCAGCACATGATAGAAACCAGAACATTGCATCCCGAAGACTTGTCCAGGGATGAGATGGTATTGTAGAGCAGCCGTGTGGATGACAACAACCTGGGTGGAATAAAAATGTCCAAAAAAAAAAAACACTTTGGCAGAGGAGCAGGATGCGGTTTGCCAACCTGGGGACCTCCTGTCCTTCTGGCCCAGGACCTGCGGGTGGGCTGGGGGTCCTGGGACGAACTATGTCCTCTGCACTGTGGACACCGGAGCCCTCGCTGTGCCTGCTGCACTGCCCTGGCCCAGGCACTGAAGCAGGGTGAATTACACCTGCCCCAAGCTCAGTGATTTAATGCATGCAGTGCACCTCCCAGAGCCCCCACCCTTACCCTGCCCATGGCCAGGGCTTCTGGACCAACCCCAAGGAGCCTACGCAAGGGACACTGTACAGCCGGGCCGGAGGCCATTGGCAGCTCCAGGGCCCAGCAGGTGAGGCGGGCTCTACTGTCCAAGCGCGGCCTGGTCCTCCGGCCTTGGGGCCTCGCGGATGTGGGTCCTGGGGTGAGCGCGGTGTCCCAGCTGGCTGACACCTCAGCAGGCCCCAGAAGATGTACCGGACTGAGGCCTTGGTGAAGGGAGGTGAGCAGAGTGGCCAGGAAGGGAGCGGAGCCCTGGGGGACGACAGCAGTGGAGCGGTGAGTGGCCATGGGCTGGGGCGGGTGGGCTGGGCACCGCTGGACGCTAGTGTGGCCAGGGAGAAGGGTGTTGGAGAAGTTGCAGACCAAAATAATCATATTTAGAAGATACCTGAGATCATAGCCATTGTTTACTTTTGTGCAATTTTGTTTTAACGGTGTTGTGTTCTTAGTGGGCAGGTCCTTACCTGTGGCTACTTCAGAAAGTTCATGGAAAATGAAGTCAAAAGATGTTTATTTTGGTGCTAAAGTATCAAAGCCTGTAAAGCTTTTTGTGTAACAAGTATTTTCCATGAGCTTTTTGAAGATCTGCGTATGAACTATCTAGTGATAGAGATGTTTAGAAGTGCTTGGTGTATTTAAAGTAGGAACAGTAGGTTAGCACTTTCCTAAATAGCTTTTTAAAAAAAAAGTGGTAGGGAATGTGTGGAAGTGGAATTGATGAGCAAGTTTTGTGAACAGTACGCTCTGTTGTACTGTTGGTTGGGTTGAGGGAGGTGGGTGGGAAGAGATTACAAATCGTGTTTTTGCTACTGTGTGCTTAAAAATTAGAGCTTGGTACTTCCCTATATGTTACATGCATTTGACTTAACTTTGCTGTTTTTTATATTTTGTGCATGTATGGGACAAAGAGTCCTAATTTTACAAGATCTGGTCTGTAGATATTAAAGAGGTTGCCAATGTATAACAAAAGTAGAGTTAATAGACTAACACATTTGGTATTTTTGTGTTAAAATTTATACAAAAACTGTCTTCTGAAAAGGACTTTTGGAAGTGAAATTGTCACTTCACATTGCGGTGACACGTTTGCCCACGTCAGCCTGTGGGTGTGAGGGGGAAGGAGTGGAAGAAGGGAAGACTTCTCTCGACCTCCGTGAATGCTCCTATTTAGAAGACACCTTCTGATATG